TTTCTTTTACTTTCTAAAACTAAAATTCTAAATTAAGTTACAAACTAAATTAACTTATTAAAAATACTAATTAATTCATAGCAACAATTATCATATAAAATGAAATGACAATCAAAATACAATCATACAATTTGGACATTAAAGGCTAAAAATGCAAAAGATGCCTATTTTTGTAATTTTCATTCTTGTAAAACAAACTTAATTACTCATAATTGCAAACTTAAATCCTAAATGCAAATGCGACATATTTTTGTATTTTTTATTAATTTAGCAAATAAACATGCACAGACAAATTCAAACAATACAAGAAAAATAACACAAAATTCACAACAATTGCAAACAAATAAAAAATTGTTTTATTTTTGGAATTTTTGGGAATAATTCTCATATAGGGCAAAAATCACGTTCTTACAATAAGCGTCTGATTTAAAGTTGCGGCATGACGCAGAATCTCACTTACTCATCAGCGAGTACAACCTTTGTCTTCTCACGATCAATTACTCCTCCCCATTAATGCTTTACTCTGTGTCCATTCACCAAAAATTGTATTTCACCATTCAAAGCTCGCAGCTCAATTGCACCATAAGGAGTGAATCTCACTACCTCAAACGAGCCTGAACATCTCGATTTTAACCTCCAAGGCAATAGATTTAATCTAGAATTGAACAATAATACATGTTGGCCTGGCTCGAAGTGATGTGGTTTGATATGCTTGTCATGCCATCTTTTTGTCTTTTCTTTGTAAAACTTAGCATTTTCATAAGAGTGTAGCCTGAACTCATCCAACTCATTCAACTGCAAGACTGTCTTCTCGCCGGCGGCTTTAAGGTCCATATTTAACTTCTTATTAGCCCAATATGCTTTGTGTTCAAGTTCAACAGGCAAGTGACAAGCCTTCCCATAAACTAGCCTATACAGTAACGCCCCAATTGGCGTTTTGTATGCATTTCTATATGCCCACAAGGCATCATCTGACTTTACAGACCAATCTTTTATATTCACACTCACAGTCTTCTCTAATATTTGCTTTATTTCTCTATTAGACACCTCATCTTGTCCATTTGTTTGAGGATGATATGCCGTCGCAACTCTATGACGGACTTCATACTTAGCTAGAAGGTTATTCAACAACTGATTGCAAAAGTGTGTCCCTTCAACACTAATTAAAGTAGAGGAGTCCCAAACCTCGAGAATATGTTCCTTTTGACAAACGCAGCTACCACCATGGCATCATTCGTTGGCAATGCGATCGCTTCTACCCATTTTGACACGTAGTCAACTGCTAGCAAAATGTATTTGTTTCCTCTGGACAATGGGAATGGTCCTATAAAATCTATCCCCCACACATCAAAAATCTCGACCTCCAGGATCTTATTCAAAGGCATCTCATGCCTCTTTATGATTGTTTCTATCCTTTGACACTGGTCACTCTTCTTAACAAATGCATAGACGTCCTTGACTATTGTTGGCCAAAATAACTGGATTGTAATACCTTTGCAGTTGTTCTAATGCCCCCGTGATGGCCCCCATAGGGTGATGCATGACAATCATACAACACTAGTTCGACCTCTTTTTCAGGTATGCATCTTCTCATCATTTGGTCAGCACACTGCTTGTACAAATATGGCTCATCCCAATAGTAGAAGTTTACATCATGTAGAAACCACTTTCTAGCTTCAGATTCAATTTCAGACGAAAGTACACCGCTCACTAAATAATTCACATAGTCCGCGTAACATGGGAGAGGGTCTTGGGTGATAGCAAAAAGTTGCTCATCATGAAATATTTCATTAATTTGGCCACCCTCATCCACGTGGTCGTGATTTTCCAGCCTTGATAGACGGTCAGCTACTTGGCTCAATGTGCCCTTTCGATCTCGTATTTCTACATCAAATACCTGCAACAACAAAACCCAACGTATCAATCTAGCCTTAGATTCCTTCTTTATAAATAGATACCTGATTCTTTGTAAATCTACCCTTCTTTTTCCCACCATGTATGCCCGAAATTTCTGAAAGGCCTACACAACGGCTAACAACTCTTTTTTAGTGGTTGTGTAATTCAGCCATGCATTATCAAGAGTCTTACTAGCATAGTAGATGGAATAAAATACCTTGTCTTTCCTCTGGACTAGCACTGCCCCAATAGCATGGTCACTTGCATCACACATAAGTTCAAATGGTAAGGACCAATTTGGTGCCACAATAATTGGAGTAGCCACCAACTTCTTTTTGAGTTCTTCAAATTCCTTGAGGTAGGCTTTATCAAAATTGAAAGTTACATCCTTTTCAAGCAACCTGCACAAGGGAGTAGAAATTTTTGAAAAATCCTTAATAAAGCGTCGATAGAATCCTGCATGTCCTAAGAAACTCCGGACACCCTTAACAGAAATAGGTGGAGGTAATTTTTCAACCACTCCACCTTCGCCTTATCAACTTCAATGCCACTCCTAGAAACTCTGTAACCCAACTCGATGCCTTCTCACGATCAATTACTCCTCCCCATTAATGCTTTACTCTGTGTCCATTCACCAAAAAATGTATTTCACCATTCAAAGCTCGCAGCTCAATTGCACCATAAGAAGTGACTCTCACTACCTCAAACGGGCCTGAACATCTCGATTTTAACCTCGAAGGATATAGATTTAATCTAGAATTGAACAATAATACATGTTGGCCTGACTCGAAGTGATGTGGTTTGATATGCTTGTCATGCCATCTTTTTGTCTTTTCTTTGTAAAACTTAGCATTTTCATAAGAGTGTAGCCTGAACTCATCCAACTCATTCAACTGCAAGAGTGTTTTCTCGCCCGCAGCTTTAAGGTCCATATTTAACTTCTTATTAGCCTAATATGCTTTGTGTTCAAGTTCAACAGGCAAGTGACAAGCCTTCCCATAAACTAGCCTATACAGTGACGCCCCAATTGGCATTTTGTATGCATTTCTATATGCCCACAAGGCATCATCTGACTTTACAGCCCAATCTTTTATATTCACACTCACAGTCTTCTCTAATATTTGCTTTATTTCTCTATTAGACACCTCATCTTGTCCATTTGTTTGAGGATGATATGCCGTCGCAACTCTATGGCGGACTTCATAATTAGCTAGAAGGTTATTCAACAACTGATTGCAAAAGTGTGTCCCTTCAACACTAATTAAAGTAGCGGAGTCCCAAACCTCGAGAATATGTTCCTTTTCACAAACGCATCTACCACCATGGCATCATTCGTTGGCAATGCGATCGCTTCTACCCATTTTAACACGTAGTCAACTGCTAGCAAAATGTATTTGTTTCCTCTGGAAAATGGGAATGGTCCTATAAAATCTATCCCCCACACATCAAAAATCTCGACCTCCAAGATCTTATTCAAAGGCATCTCATGCCTCTTTATGATTGTTCCTATCCTTTGACACTGGTCACTCTTCTTAACAAATGCATAGACATCCTTGACTATTGTTGGCCAAAATAACCGGATTATAATACCTTTGCAGTTGTTCTAATGCCCCCGTGATGGCCCCCATAGGGTGATGCATGACAATCATACAACACTAGTTCGACCTCTTTTTCAGGTATGCATCTTCTCATCATTTGGTCAGCACACTGCTTGTACAAATATGGCTCATCCCAATAGTAGAAGTTTACATCATGTAGAAACCACTTTCTAGCTTCAGATTCAATTTCAAACGAAAGTACACCGCTCAGTAAATAATTCAAATAGTCCGCGTAACATGGGAGATGGTCTTGGGTGATAGCAAAAAGTTGCTCATCATGAAATATTTCTTTAATTTGGCCACCCTCATCCACGTGGTCGTGATTTTCCAGCCTTGATAGACGGTCAGCTACTTGGATCAATGTGCCCTTTCGATCTCGTATTTCCACATCAAATTCCTGCAACAACAAAACACAGCGCATCAATCTAGTCTTAGATTCCTTCTTTATAAATAGATACCTGATTCTTTGTAAATCTACCCTTCTTTTTCCTACCATGTATGCCCGAAATTTCTGAAAGGCCTACACAACGGCTAACAACTCTTTTTTAGTGGTTGTGTAATTCAGCCATGCATTATCAAGAGTCTTACTAGCATAGTAGATGGAATAAAACACCTTGTCTTTCCTCTGGACTAGCACTGCCCCAATAGCATGGTCACTTGCATCACACATAAGTTCAAATGGTAAGGACCAATCTGGTGCCACAATAATGGGAGTAGCCACCAACTTCTTTTTGAGTTCTTCAAATTCCTTGAGGTAGGCTTTATGAAAATTGAAAGTTACATCCTTTTCAAGCAACCTGCACAAGGGAGTAGAAATTTTTGAAAAATCCTTAATAAAGCGTCGATAGAATCCTGCATGTCCCAAGAAACTCCGGACACCCTTCATAGAAATTGGTGGAGGTAATTTTTCAACCGCTCCACCTTCGCCTTATCAACTTTAATGCCACTCCTAGAAACTCTGTAACCCAACACGATGCCTTCCTGCACCATAAAATGAATTTTTTCCTAATTCAATACCAGATTTATTTCATCACAACGGGCCAACACCTTGCTCAAATTCTTCAAACAATCATCATAAGAAGACCCAAACACTGAAAAATCATCCATAAAAACTTCCACAAATTTTTCCACCATATCAGTGAAAATAGCCATCATACATCTCTGGAAAGTGGTTGGTGCATTACAAAGACCAAATGGCATGCGCTTGAAGGCGAAAGTGCCATAACGACAAGTAAAAGTAGTCTTCTCCTGATCCTCTAGGCTTATGATAATCTGATTATATCCCGAATAACCATCAAGGAAGCAATAATATTCATGCCCCGCTAATCTGTCCAACATTTTGTCAATGAATGGAAGTGGAAAGTGGTCCTTGCGGGTTTCTTTTGTTGAGACTTCTATAATCAATGCAGACTCTCCACCCCGTCACAGAGCGAGTAGGAATTAGCTCATTTTTCTCATTCTCATACTTAATCACAGTCATCCCCCCTCTTTTTGGGCACACATTGAATTGGGCTTACCTAGTTGCTGTCAGAAATAGGAAAGATGATACCTACATCGAGCAACATAATTACTTCCATCTTCACGACCTACTTCATAATGGGATTTAACCTCCTTTGCTGCTCAACACTGGGGCGGTGTCCATCTTCCAAGAAGATTTTATGCATGCAAAATGATGGATTAATTCCCTTGATGTCAGCAATTGTCCACCCAATAGACTTTTTATGCTTGCAAAGTACTCTGAGCAATTTTTATTCTTGTATATTAGTCAAGTTGTATTAGATAATCACTGGTAATGTCTCAGAGTTACCCAAATAAACATAGCGCAGATGCACTGGAAGGGGCTTAAGTTATAGCTTTGGAGATTTTTTAATAGGTGGCTTAGGACGGGTCAGAGTGATAGGCCTGTCCAACTCCTCAAATTTTCCAAACCCATAGACATAGCTGCAGGACATATCAAGTACTTGCTCAATTTCTCCCATCATTTTATCTTCACTGTCATCTTCATCCCCAATCAAAGCTCATTCAAGAGGATGTATAGGGCTCATATAAGGTACCAATAATGTAGCATCACTTTCCACCATTGAAATCATGGATAACTCTTCATAGTGGTCTGGCAATTTGAGTGCTTATATATATTGAATACCTCCATTCGATCAATTACTCTCATTGTCATCTTTCCTTTGCATACATCAATAATAGCTCGGCATGTGGCTGAGAATGGATGTCCCAAAATAAATAGGACTTCCTGATCAGGCTCGTAGTCCCAGATAATGAAATCGGTAGGGAATATGAAAGAACTCACTTGAACTAACACATCTTCAATTACCCCTTCAAGATGAGCAACAGAGCGATCAGCTAACTATAAGATTACCGTTATTGGGTGTGGCTCACCCAACCCCAACTGTCTGAACACAGAAAGTGGCATCAAATTGATGCTCGCTCCAAGATCCATGTAAAGCTCTCCCGACTGCATGCTTACCAATCGAGATTTAGATAGTGAAACTACCTGAATCCTTCAATTTCTAAGGTAGCTTGCTTTGAATTCTTGAGATACATTCCTCAGTAGGTGCCACAGTTGTCGCACCCCCTTTTTCCCTCTCCTTTTTGACGGGGGGAAGAGGTCCGAGTTTCAACATTCACGAGGTGTAATAACTCATTTCCTTTTGGGAATTGGGTATTCGAAGAATCACCACCTAACGAATTATGGTGCATTAGCGCACCTAGAGCGATTAACTCTGGGGTTGGTTCTAGGGTAAGGTCTCGAGGTGACCTCGAGGGGAAGGTGTTAGGCACCCCTCTTGGTCCACAACTATGGGTCCCGGACGAATTTATATTTACAAATTAGTCCATATAAATAGTTGAATCAAATAAGTTGCAAGTAAAGCACATTGGGTAATTCAAAGGTTGGCACAAGTTGTATAACAAAAAAAATAAAAGATGATTTGGGTAAAGGGGATCCTAGGTTGGTTATCCTATAGGATCACCCCACGCAATGTCCGGTAAACACACCTCAATGAGGAGCTACACGTGACATTAACGTGTAGTCATCATATCCCATGTCTACCCTTATCATCCCCTTATTGGTCATGCAAAGCGAGTGTTTGGTCACTGATTTCTATTGCGTGCTCCTTCCCGTTCCTTCTTAATGGTCCCGAAGAGGGTTAGGACCTTTACCTATAGATAGTTCTAGACATACTCCTAAGGTTCAGAAAGGAAAAAACTCTAAGGCGACAGTCAAAATATTTAGGACTTTTGCACATAATGGGAGAAATTAAGAGGCTCAAAGTTTCCTCCTCAAGTAAACATACAAGCAGCGCGACTCAAGCACAGTTAAGGTCTTATTGATCAATGTCCTAAAGCAGGATATCTAAGTGAATATGCAAAAACAGACAAACCCTTTTATACCAAAAAGTTATAATCTAGTAGTTGCCTAGGGCCTCTTTTTAAAAAACCTTTTAGGATCAGAGACGTTAAACGACAGAGACAACTTCAGGGAATTGCAGTTTTTAAAAATGCCCTAAGGCTTGCCTATATGCAGAATACTAGGTCTATATTAATGCAGAAGCAAACAGGTTTTCGAAATAGACTCCTTTAATACCTATAGGCATGATATCTAATGAGATTAAAGCAATTTTGAAAGAACATGTTTCAGGAAATGTTTAACACTTACTAAGACCAGTTTTAAAAATGAACTTGGCATAATGAAATTGATTTATTGGGCCGAACTAAATTTCCAGACAATAGTACGAGTAGAATCCCTATAGGCATGATATCTAATGAGATTAAAGCAATTTTGAAAGAACATGTTTCAGGAAATGTTTAACACTTACTAAGACCAGTTTTAAAAATGAACTTGGCATAATGAAATTGATTTATTGGGCCGAACTAAATTTCCAGACAATAGTACGAGTAGAATCCCTATAGGCATGATATCTAGGTGGATTACTAATTTTAGTCGATTTGCAGCAACATACAAGAATACCGGTTAAAACTGTATCGGAGTTGAATCCTATAGGTATGGCATCTATATTTGAACTTATTTAAGAAATGATTGTTTGGAACCTACAAATATGGTTTCTAACATGACAAAATGCAGAACCTTATGAACATGATTTCTACCTGATGCAAACGAAATTAAGAGTGAAATCCTATAGGCATTATTTCTATTAGGCAAAGCAATCAAATTCAAAAAAGCAAACCTATGAGCATGTTTTCTACTTATGCAAGCAGTCAGACTTCAAAAAGTAAGGTCCTAAGTGTAGGATCTGTTTACAAATTATTACAGGCCAATGAATGAATTACATAAGTAAAATAGAAAATTAAGAAGCTATTCT